CTGCAAGCCATGGGGCCAGCAATGTATTAATATATATATACTGTAGTACTGTTTTACCTAGAAATGTATTGGGGAAATCCCACATAGTAGACAAGGGTAGCTTCTTAGGATATCCCCTGGGACCCTGCCATATGCTAAATAGAAAGCACTATAACTTTACTCTACCAATTTAAGGCCGGCAGGCTATTAACCCCCAATCACACATTAACCATGACCTTAAGTGTCCCTGCCATATATGTTGGGGAATTTATGTTTGCTCCGGTCAGGCTGAATATAGTCTAACCCAGCGGGCCCACTTCCATACCAGCAAAGCATTTAAGCTGCACATTTAAGCTGCACATCTAAGCTGCTCATTTAAGCTGCACAGCTAACATAGTCCTTGTGTGTCCCCTCGGACCATCTCGCGTGATTATCTTCAGTTGTTAAGCACCCAGTTAGTTTTACTGGTAAAGTTTAAGCTCTTTGTTATTTCTCAAAATGCATTACTCAACCTATTGCCACTAACCATATGGGACAGCTCTTTTTGTTCATTTTTCTTTCGCCTAGCGTGGCACAATTAAAAAAAATCACAGCACAGACCAGACATACTGTACTAAATGCATAACACTGTACAATCAGACACAAAGATAAGACTGTACAGCTATGATCTGTAATGCAATGTCCTAGCCTGACCGTTAATCTTACTGTGACTACTAGGTGAAACATCTGTGAATCAAAATACTGCTTTCACTTGTCTTTATAAGCGTAAGATATTATCCTGTTTATATAACTACTTAAAAAAAAAAAAAGTGCAATGTAATTAATGCCATGTGATTAAGCGTGTATGCAAACTTGATTGCACCAGCTATTGTGGCAGTTCAAATCTGCCTGTTAACCTTATGCACGAACAAAAATAAATAATTTTTTTTTAAAAAATGCTGAGATTTCCTTTAAGTAATTGATTAATGTATCTGGCCAACAACACAACAAAATCATCATATAAATTTAAAGCCTAGAGCTGATTTATGGGATGATCAGCAAGTCTAATAAGTATATTAATATGCAATATATTCTCCAAAATAGTGGTATAGCATACTGGAAAAGGGGTGTTTCTTGACCCCAGCTCGCGATCCCACCACTAAAGCGATTTGCTGCACATGCGCTCTTGTCTCCCACACTAGATTTCAAATGCTATCCTATGGTGTATTGACTGTGGTAATCATTATTGATCATTTCAACTGGGGAGGCAGGTTAGCTGCAGCAGGACTGTCGCGTGGGGAGTAAACGTAAATAAAACTTTTTTTTTTTGTAGTTCCGAGTGGGGCGACTAATAGGTTTATCACAGTCCCACACTGCAATATCAGACCTATGTGTCTCCAACTCGAAACGCAGTAAGGGTTCCGACCCTGTTCTAACCTCCATTCTCAATAGCCGCCATCTGGGCCCCTCCCTGAATCTTCATGTAGCAGGAGTCACTACAGTTTTAAGTATAAAGCAGCTTTCTTGCCCTGCAAGTTAGCAGAGCAGGAGTATTTACTCTGGGCTAATATGGAGTTGGTGGTAGCCTCCTGGATTTCCGAGATAGCCGAGTCTGAGCCAAAACTCCAGATGAGTTGAGAAGCCTTCGGCCCCTTATGTCGAGCATAATCCTCCACCAGACAAGGACCACTATGGCGTAAGTGCTGAGGTAAATGAGGGGCCTTCAGGCTAGTTTTTGGAACATATTCCTCCTCACCTTGCAGTATCTGCACCCAGCGGCTGTATAACTGACTCTTGCAGCATGTTGATGGATGCCGGCCGCGGCAGATCCATGGCCAATTATACCCCCACGTCCGCCCACGTTATTAACAACGTCGGTGTGCACGTGACATCACGCGGGAGACGCGCACGCACGTTTTGGTTTCAAAGATCGATCTTGGCCAATCAGAACGGTAAAGCAGGTATTTAAACTCAAAATTACTTTTTCTCATTGCCCTGTCGTGGTTTCCCTAGTGGTTGTCCGAGAGTGTGTTCATGAGCGGTTATATTCTGGTTTTTGACTTTGATTTCATTTTGACTTCCCTGTATTCTGGTATCCCTGACTTCTGGCTTCCCCTTATCGTTGTGTCTCTTTCTGTGTCCCCCAACCTCGGCAAGTATCCTGACTATTCTTTGGTGCGTTAAGTCCGGCCATTCTAAGGCCCGGTAATACGTTGCCTATTAGTCCTCAGTGTGACAAAATTCTACGTGCTGGACCAACTAGTAATCCTCACAGTTTTGCCCAGAAGGTTTCAAATAGTTTTTTGAAATTCTCCATATAGTAGGGCCATGGGCTTGCTTGGCCTGTGCTATCTTCCGTCTTGAAGGGGTTCTGCACCCCTCTGGGCCCAAGAGTGATAGGCACTGTCCGAGGCAAGCTGGAGGCAAGGTGTTCAGCCACTTCTCCCACATCAACGCTACCCGTAGGGTCACAAGTAGGCCGCAGAACTGCTCTGTCTGGACTTCACTTCAGCTTAGAAGATAATTGTCCACTATATGAGTAAAATTCGAGATACTTCCCGGAGCTTCAACAAAGTGCAACTACACAGCACGGCTGTCAGACCTGGCCCTGTTGCTCTGTTTTTATGTCATGCAGCATGTGTATTTTCTTTTGATACCATTAGCATTGAATACTTAAATTCACCAATGCATGTGTAACAATATAAAAAAATTAAACCTACCTTTATAGGAGGGGTGGGGCTTGCAGCCAAAATGGCCTGATGTACTCTTTTTTAGCTCAGGCAAGATCGTGCACAAAACCAGCTATAATTGCATTCACCCACACTGACCATATCTTCCCACAATCTGTGGGCCATCTTGAACTGTGTGGGAACACGACAATACCGGATTTGTGCTACTACACTAATAATTTTAGCCGTCAGACTATGCGGCCTAGCTTGTCATGCGGCCCAGGGGCTGGGAGAGGCAGCCGATCTCCCGCCATGGGGCTCGCTTCCGCTGCAGATTTTTCTGCAGCCCCACAAACCCCCTCTGGACTGGTGGAGGATATGCCATTCACTACTGGGAAAACTCACCTCGTGCAACAGAAGGATCTCCTGCTGCACCAACAACAACACAAAGCGCCCAAGACGGCCACCGTGCCACAGCTTCCATGGCTTCAGGAGAACTTGATGGTCCAGAGCTGGAGGGAGAGCTTTGAAGCCTGCTTTTACAAGATCTGTCAGCTGTTTTGGGGACGTATTCACAGCCGATCTCACACCACAGCTCTGCCCAGTGGGTCCAAGCCCTCAATTGTTGCTTTGAAACGCAGACCCCAATCAGGGCTGGGGACCCAAATAGTGGTATTCAAGCAGCCGCCTAAATACCCAGTGAGTTCCCTGAATTTCGGAGGACCCCCGGGCTGGCGAGCCTGCTAAGGGGAGAACGAGGGTCACTGGATATGCGGTGTCACATCCCTATATGGCCTGGGCTTTGGGGGGGTGAGGAAATCTGATGCAACTGACTTACAGCAACCTGCCTGCATGCAACCTGGCTACCCTCACGGCATAACACTGGGGCTAGCGATAACATAGGCAAGGAGGTGGACTATTAAGTGTGGCATTCCTGTGGCGTTGGATGACACCTGGGAGCCTGCTGATTCATAGCTACTCCCGACACCAGTACAGGGATTTTTATGCTCCTCTTTACTTACCTGTACTTGTGTTGAGTACCCAGTGGCATTCATCGTTATGAGTAAACATGTCTCACTACACACATTACATTTCCTACTTGAGCATGAGCCTAATTACAGTGTGGTACTTATGTCTGATGTGTTTACTTTGTTTAGCCTGATTATCCACCTTGTTTATCAAGTTGCTCACTTACGTTAATCTATATTTACTTAGCATTTTTTTCATATTCATAAAACGGTGCATTTATTCTGACTGCCATGTCGCAATTATACTATGTCTGACAAAGTAGCTTGTTGTTGTTGTCGTGGCAACACAAGTTGTAAAAAAAAAAAAAAAAAAAATCTACCTTCATTCCAGCTCCAACACAGTCTCTTCATCACAGAAATGCACATGCATTGAGGATACAGAATACGTGCCCAGCTACAAAACATGACACAAATTGAAGAAACATTGAGTCCATTCAGTGATAGATTAGTGCTAGGCATTGACTACAACATGACCTGATGGCCGAACCAAAGTTGCTGATCTGACTTGGTAGGAGTGCCAGGTAGCATAAGTCCCAGCTCTCTGATTCACAAGACTGCAGGACAGACCTGCTTTTAAAAAAAATAGAATAATAATAATAATAATAATAATAAACTTTAGTCTGAGACTGCAATGTCATTATCAGTGCACTGGGACTAGTTCAATAAGATGAAGTGGTTATGG